TAAACTACAAATTAGAGGCTCAGGCTGAACGTCCCTGTGTATCTTGAGGGCTATATATATTCAGTCCTGCAGATGCAGTGTTGCAACAGGGATGTGACATATTGCTTTTCTAGGGAGATGTGCCAGAAATTATGAATTACAGATCAATCCTACTGAAAGAAAATCAGGCCAATTGGAATCTGTTCTAAAGTTTTTTATTAGCTTAAAACTCGGTCTTTTTGTTGTAGGAAGGAGTGTTTGAGAGACCGTAGGCATCTGAACCATAGAATCATAAAACATCCTGGCTTGAAAAGGACCACAATGATCATCTGTTTTCAACGCCCTGCTATGTGCAGGGTGACCAACCAGCAGACCAGGCTGCCCAGAGCCACATCCAGCCTGGCCTTGAATGCCTCCAGGGATGGGGCATCCACAGCCTCCTTGGGCAGCCTGTTCCAGTGAGTCACCACCCTCTGAGTAAAAACTCTCCTCCTGATATCCAAACTAAACCCATTCTTCCTTGTCCTATCCAATTGGGGTATAAAAGTTTGGATATAATTCTGAACCATTTGGAATTAACTCTGATTTCCAGCTAAATTTCAGAGCAAGATGCTAAGCATCCAAGTCTGTATAAACTGAAACAAACAAGAATTCTATTGGTTGGTCTGTAGGGTACCAGTCAGTCCATATACTACAGCCTCTCAGTCTTCAATGTATGTAGCTTCAGAACATTAAAATTGTTTTTAAAGTTCTAAACCAACTTCTTAAAAACCACTCTAAATTTAAGAGCCTATTCCTAAGAAGAATGTGCCAGTGTACAACAGGTGAATATGTATTTCAGTGTGCTGTTTTTCTGATTATTTGCAGTTAAGAAATACTTCCTAGACATACAACCAGTACAGAACCAAATATAGAATCCACATAATAAGCTGATAAAAAGTGGAATGTTTTTCATAGTCATTCAATCTGCCAGATTTTATATATTTCACCCACTTATACTGATGTATATCTATTTGTCTAGGGCAAAACTCAGGATTTATAGTGTATCAAGGGAACAAAAAATCCCAATCCATGCCACACTGAGGGGAAGACCAATTTTCAAGTAAAGGATCATTTCCTAACACATCTTCATCCATGTTTTAGACTAATCTACTCAGATTTTCTATACTTTTTATATTACATTCACCATGATAGTATTTGAGCACTATTTCCTGCTACCTGCAGGCACAAAGAAATACTCTTCTATATGGCTAGTAGATATTCATAAGCAAATGGGAGTCAAGCAGGCATAAGCCCAGGTGACTAATGGCATCTTTAACACTTGCAAGCATTTGCTCAAGATGTGTGAAGGTCTCATGTTTGAGTGTTGCTGAAAGATAAATGAGGAGCAAAATGCACATGCATTTTTGGCTTCCCTAAAGCTGTAGCAGAAACATCCAGCTGATGGTACAGGCTATCATTGGAAGACTGAGAGGTGTCAGGGAGGAAAAAGGGCAAAATTAAAAATCTATAGTAATTTTCATTGTTCATAGGATTATTTTAGGGCACTGTATGCTATTTGTGTAGAAGTGCTGCTGTGAATGTATCCTGCCTTTTTGATAGGCTGCATAGGTCTGTTGGGGGAAAAAAGGGCCTATCTGATCACTTGCTTTATACTGCATGCGAAATAAAGATGAGGTTGGGCTCCATAATGCCTGATTAATGATTGGTAGTCCTGGATTCAGAAGCATTCTTATTTCTCTTAATCCTCTTCTTTCAAGTGTCTAGTTTGGTGCTTCCCCAATTAACTTTCTCCTTTCTTTCCATGCAATACCTCAGAAGCCACCATCCCTCTTGTCATATTTTCAGTTTAGAAGAGGGCAGACGGAGCAGAAAGTAAGTGTAAGGTGCTTCTGAAGCTTTTATCTTCATTTCTATATCCTGTAATATCTTTACACACTGTCATTCTTGCCACCAGAAACAAGAACTTATTTAAATGTCAAACATGGTCTTAATGAATCCCACAGGATAATCATAGCTGCAGCTAAGTTAGTTTCTATAAATAATTCTATATGATCTTTAAGTTTTTAAGCACTAAATCAAGAGTCTGCTCTTCATCTCACACATCTGTTTGAAAACAGGGATGTTAATTTAGTAGTTAAGGTCTTTTAAGTGCTTTGCCATGGGGTTACATTTTGGTACTGAACCCTGGGCTCAAATGTGCCAAATGAAACGTATCGGGTAATTTTGAGGAGTGAGGCACTTTTGAGTATTCAGTACTGAAATAATGGAATTGTTGAAACCAATACTTAGAAATGTCTTGAAATAACGTTAATTATCATTCAGCAAAGGTTGGTTCCATGCCTACAGAATGGTGACTACTAAATAACCTTATGCTTTTCTAACTTAATTCAACAAAGCATGTCTCTTAAAAGTTAACTTCCTTTCTCTAAGGAAGTACTGAATACATTACTCTGAGGGTGACAGACCACTGGAACTTCTCAGAGAGGCTATGGAGTCTCCTATGGAGATACTTAAGACCTGTCCAGATGCCTACCTGTCTGACCTGCTGTAGGGAATTGCTTTAGCAAGGAGTTGTACTCCATGATCTCTGGAGGTCCCTTCCAACCCCTGCAATTCTGTGATTCTGCAGTGTAGCATTTTCTCAGTACTGTACCCTTTAAAAGTCTCCCATACAAAGAAGTGCAAATGGCAGTAAATTAAAGCGTTGTTGCTTTGTTTTCTGACATCTGTGTTCTCCATCCATTCCTAGCAGATATTTATGCTTGCTTTTTGAAAATGAAAGAAGTTTGAGACTATTCTGAATTTGAATCCCTTCATATGTACACATATACCAGTCCCCAAATGAGGATGCATAACCAGTGTGCAAGGCAGTTCCTTCATGTAGGGATTCTAGCCCAACATCTTTGTTTCCCAAGTGATAACTCTTATACCAAGAATCAGTTTAACAAGAGCTAGAGCAGACAGCCAATTTTCAGGCTGTTCACATTGCCTCCTCTTCTCAGTCTGCCAAGGCAGGCAGACCTTGCATAACCCCAAGATGGAACAGCAGTACAGCAGGTCTCTATAGGAGATGAAAACCTACTTTGTACTCTACAAAGGCAACATTAGAAGATTTTGTAGTGATGCTACATTGAAATGCTTCCCAGAATGATTTGCCTGCTTCTGTTAACAGAAATTACAGAAATGGTTACTGCAGAGCTTTAGAGCTTTGCTTCTGACTAGCATTTCTGCACCTGAATTCTTATCCAAATTATTTGAGTCTGTAAAGCAAGGATAGGACTTAGCTTTCTCTTAGTACCTGTTTCCATTTATCTTTAAAATGTTTTCAGTGTGCTTACTAATAGACTTGTTCTCAATAACTTTAATTCCTAGCCTGATTAGTTCCACAAATGGGGGCTTTTTTATTTCAGGAGTTTCATTTTTCCTCCATCAGTTATTATAGCTTCATGCTGATGTTCTGTAGGGCTTCCCCCAAGGGTATTGTGTTTCACCTGGTTTTCTCAGAAGGAGGAATATTTTTAGTACCTCAGAACTGTCTCTCCATAGTTCTGCTACACCTTTTCCCTTCAGTTGTTTTGAATTTGAAAGTAAGATGCCACTAGTAACACAGGAAGGCTGTAGTCAATGCCAGCCTGTTCTCAGTGCTGCCTACAGACTGATGCAAATTGGCATATTTAAAGCCTAGGCAGACAGCAGCTGTGTAATCCAGTGGCATTTCCTTCTAAAATGTTCTGCACAGAAGAGGAGCTTGAAAGGAACATGAAATGAAGTAACAGCTTAGAGATAAATCCAGTTCCAAAATAGGAAGCAACACTACACTAAGCAACAAATCTTTTTTTGCCTGTATCTGCAGAAAGAATAAGACACTCCTGACACACTAGCTCTGTTTCTGCCATCAGGTAGGTGCCTGCAGACCTGCTTCCCTTGTCACCTCTCTGACCACACTGCAAGGCCTTCCAGTCTATGCTCACAGTTTTTTGTTTCCCGTGGAAATTAGGACGCTTTTGAAGAACAAGAGTGGAAGGGATGCTGTGTACCTCATTTCAACCTATGTGGTTTTATGAGATGAGCAGAAAATACCGCCAACGAGATGCAGCCCATTTCTTCACCTTGCTAGGTTTCAGTTAGCCAGACAGCACCTGATTTGAAAAACAAGCTGAAAAAATCTCAAAGCACTAGATTCAAGCAGAAAAGTTTGTACAAAACTGGAGGGGAATAGATACTTAAAGCAGGTGCAAAAGCATGGACAGTTACATAGCAATGCAGTTGTGTGGCAATGCCTCCCATCACAGCCTGTCCCTCAGCTGTGGAGCAGGCAGAGTGAATCACAGTCACACAGAAACAGAACACTGCTGTCTGGTGGGTTTTCCTTCAGCCTACTTTTTGCAGTGTGCAGGAGTTCTCCATCCACTTGTGTGAAAAATTAAGCAGGGGAGGCAGGAAACCAGCAAGACCATGTTGGATGGAGCTCTGGGCAGCTTGATCTAGTGAGAGGTGACCCTGCTTATGGCAGGGACTGTAACTAAATGGTCTTTAAGGTCCTCACTAATCCAAACTATTCTGTGATTATGTGGTGCCTGCACCCTAGAAGTAGGTTGATTTCTGTGTGATTTCATTACTGAAATCCCAGCGGTTTGGGAACTTTTTCTTGGACTGCTTCCTTTTCAGTAACCTGTTTTTTAATTTTCCACTAAAATAATATTTTTGATCAAAAATGCAGTTTCTGCCACAGTAACATCTGTAGCACTATCACACACTGATCAGGAAAAGTCAGAAAATTGCTGTCTCTGTGGGTTGTAGTAGCAGAAATGCTGTCACAGCCTGAAGCAGTGATTGAGCATCTGGTGGGAAGACAGGGCCAACCCAGGGAAGCTCAGGTGTATGCAATGCGTCTGAGTGATCAAAGGTGTGCAGCCAGGATCCACCCCTTCCCAGACCTCATTTAAGGGTTGGCAGTGAAGTTGAGAATATCTTGCTTGAGATCCCTGTATGCCTGAGGCCTTTTGAAGGTAAGCAGCTTTTTTTCCTTTATTTTTGTGCCTATGGCTGCTGCAGTCTGGGACCTTGCTGCTCTGCTGTTATTGCCCCATTTTCCATTGCATTATAGTTGCCTAACCTAAGTTGCCTGCTCTTCAGTACGTTGGCCATTGAGGCTCAACTGCTTCCTTTTAAGGCCAGTGAGGAACTCTCCCCACCTCTGCTCCCTCAACAGAATGTCTTTCTGTCTGGGCTGAAGCAAGGAGCCTGCTGTGCCTGACACCTGGCAGTGATATTTGTGGAGTCCCACCTAGGAGGCAAGACCCTAGAGAAGATATAGAAATCTGAGCTGCAGCTCTCAAAGGACAAGGTTTCCCTGTGCAGCAAAATGTGATTTAACATTGAGTTGTCTCAAAATAAAAGGCTGGAGGGATTTTCTTTCCCACTTCCATTTTATATCACGCTGATACTCTTCTCTTTACCAGTATCTTTGGGCTTTTGGTTCCTCTAACAAGATACAGTCTGTTCTGCTTCTGGGAAAACTTGAGGAAATGAACTGCAAATGGAAAATATGTCCCCTCATTTCTTTCTCTTCTTCCCCCACACTCTTTCTTAAAAAGAAATGCTCCAAGCATTTATCTCCTTTTCTTTAAACCCAGGTTGCTTTTCTTATGCTTTCTCTAGTGATTTCGGCTATGCTTCTTGTTCAAAAAGAAATAAACCACTTCATATTTAAAAGCCACAAATTGCTGCTTCCATTTTGTCAGAAAGACTGGTCTCTGTCCAGGTTGAGAAATAACACTCAAATCTGCCAAGTTTTGTCAAACATTACCTTCCTTTAACAAGAAATATTGGCAGTTCTTGTATATAAGAGAAAGAAGCCATTTGAATGGTTTCTGTGAGGGGGGAGGTTCTGTGTTTTCTTGAGCATAGAGGAGGAAGAACGTGGAAAGACACTAAAAAATCAAACAAATACCCAAGCAAGGGCCAATTTTAGTCTATAATTGTTATTGTATTCTGCTAGTCTTAGTCATGTAGTCCAATCCTCATTGATTTCTGAAGGTTCCTCACAAAGTAAGCTAATGTTTAACGTAAGTATTACAGGATCTTGTCTTTCAGAAATGAGAGCCAGGAAGATTTACTAATTCAACTGCCTTATTCCTGACTGATCAGCCTGCTTGATTCAGGGTTACTTAACAGATTTTTTTTCAAGTGGAAGTGTTTGGAAAAGCATGATAATTACATTTGTATTCATTCTAATATGATGTGTTCCAACTCCCTCTTCATCGTGTCTTACAGAGAGTTATCTGGTAAAGGAATGACAAGCCTTTGTGAAAAGATTGCAAATTCTGACAGATTTCAGTTCTTGTATGTACTCATATTTCAAGTTGCATAGCAGTGCAAGATCAGACTGTGTGAAAGAAAATACTGCATACACTTCTTACTCTGGGCTATTTTTTAAGCTTATGTGATGCCAGACCCTGTCATTGCAGGGCAGCCAGTTCACTTGTGACCTCAACCTTTTCCTCCTAGTGCACCTCTATGCAGAAGAAAACCCACTGGTGAGTTGTGCTATGGTGCTATGCATCTCAGTAACACTGTGGAGTGATTGGCACTGAGCCTGTACCCTAGGGATAGATTCAGTCTCTGCCAAGAGGCAGTGTTGGAGAGAGGGTTACAGCTGTGATCTGAAGGGACCTGGAAAGTCTACTGATGTTTTCTTTCCCTGTGTCTTGCAGTGCCTAAAGCTGCTAATTGTTCACAACTTCTTCTGTTCATTAACCTATTCTCTCCTTTAAAATTCTGGTTTTTAAAATAGAAATCTCTATCGTCTTTCTGAAATGTTGATCACAAGGAGGTACTGTGGGTGGGAAGGCTTTTCCAGGGAGGTTACGCATGCCAGGCAGTCACTCTTGAATGGTTATTTGAGGTAGATCCTTTAAGGTTTTTGAGGTTACATGTAGTCTGATGTGCCAGTTGCACGATCTACCTCTTCAACATTGAAATATTAACATAAATGCATATTAAGGTACTGTGCATTAGCTCTTGAGCTGAAATAAGAGAGAGCGTTCTAGCAGAGGCAAGCAAATATAATTGGTTTATACTGGCTTGAGGATTTGGCCTGTTATTTCTTCTCAGTATGCTTGTTAGCAGAGCTACACGCTATGTAGTTAAGGTTTTTCCTAGAAAATGAGTGAGTAATTGTATGTTTAGGCTGTCTAGTGGTAACGCTGGGGAATCTTTTGCAGATACTCACACAGAGCTACTCATATGAGCCAGCCATTTGTCCTGGGCCTACCTATCTAGTACATCTTCCTTCTCTCAGCAATCTCATCCAAGCAGATACAGAAGAGCAGCTCGGGTGACCACAGGTACCCATGTGTCTGACTAGTGTGGCCTTGGAAGGAGGCCCTGGAGCAGCTGTCTGTGCTTCTGAGGCAGAATCCATGGGCAGCCACATCTCGTACCCAGCCTGCCTACAAAGGTGAAGTATAGAAGTAGGTCCAGTGCTTTCTGAAAAGCTCTGCTGTTGTTGCTCAGATGCAAAGTAATAGCAGTGCATGTGAAATAATGCCAATACTGATTTTATGGTACAATTTGAGCACAGTTTTCTCAGGCGTTATTTCCTCTCTACTAAGCGTGCTGTAGGTACATCTATGGGTATTCATATGTTGAGATAAAAATACAAGTAGTGCTTATCTTCCCCTTTTCTGCTGCTGCTGCTTCCAGTCAGTGCTTGTGGCTGACATGCCTGCATACACGCAGATGTATGCACACAGTATCTGATCCTGCCTCTTAATTATTTTTAGCCCAATTCCTGCTCTTCTGCTTTGTGCTGATGAATGGGAAGTTGTAGTAGTGCTGTGTCACTTCACTGGCTTCTCAAACGTAGGAATTATGGTAAAGTTGAGAACAAGTGAGATTGGATTCATAGTTCCACCTCCTCCTCTAATTAGCCAACCACAGTATCTGCAGAGACAAAGAGGGAGTGAGATTTCACCACGGCAGGAGTGGGGGAGGTTCTTTTTTGTCTGTTCTTTCTTGTCCGTCTGTTCACACTGAGACTGAACCCTTTCATGGTGTGTGCTTTATTTACAACTTCCCTGACTACGCTACGTCAAAGGTTTCCCTGACCTTGGCTTCATGATTATGCAGCAAAGCATTATAAATTATCTTGTCACCAGTATCTCCATTTAGGCAAGTATAATCACTTTCTTGTAAGAACCCAGGCTGGGTATGCAGAAACAAAAAGTCTACTGCATAATAATGAGAGCAGTGTGCTACTTGGGAAGAAAAAACCCCTCTGCCATATGGGAAACTACCACAAAGGGTGCTTGGAACCTGAATGCCATTAATCTGTGCAAAGTGTTTAGCAATCTTTGCTGAAGGTGGTAAAGTGTAAAATGTTATTTTAAGCTATACTGGGAAATGCAGCATAACCTGGCCTTTATTGAATAGAGCACTGAGTGTCTGCGCCTCGCTGCAGTGACGCTTGGCAGTGCTGCACTCACTGCTTGGCAGTGCTTCTGCAGGCTCCATATTGCAGGGAGCGGTCTTCACCCTACTGGCTCTGTGATCCATGTGACTCACAGTCTACTTCTACAGCCATGGTAATAAAGCATTTTATGCTAGTTCCTTGTGATGCATCAGGGGAGTGAGAAGGAGCAATTGTATTCTGCTAGATGCTAGAAAATCACATTATGTAGATTAGGAGTCAAATGGCTGTGTGTCTGCAGGTGTGTATGTGCACACAGATGCATACTGATTCCTTTGAGGATATATATCTTTCCTTGGTGCTGTGAACTGCAGGAGATGTGGAAGGGATTGGCTATGATAGTGATGATTGTGTCCAGTGAGCTAGAATCAATTTAAGAGGCAGCTTGTTTGCTAATGCCAAAGCTGCTTTCATGTTTGTTTCACCTCAGCTGAGAACTATACTTTCCCTTTCTGCATCTCGGAATGATGGAAAATGTCCCTCCCATAAAATGACTCTTCAGTTTGTCTCCAGATCAGCTCACGAGCATTTTCCATTTCTCTCTCCACAACCTTGAATGTAAAATCTTGAGCTTATGTATATATATACACAATATATATATATATAGAGCATACAAGGGGATCACAGTATCTGGTTCTTACTCCAAAGATTTCATGATTAGTCTTTAAGCACAGTACATTCTCCTCTCCCTCTCCATAGTAACAGGGGAACTGTTATTTTGGTTTATTTGTCAGGAATGTCGTTAGTATTCAGTGAATAAAATCAGAAAGCAGTATTTCACATAGAATAATTATGAATATGTATTTACTTGAATAAGCTGTTGATTTTGCATGAATTCTGCACGCTGTTTCTTAGGCAAATATGCTAATGATTAATGTGTGAAAATTTACTTTATTTTTGGGCTTGTCAGACTAACTAACACAGTGATCCAAATCCAGAAAATTATTTCTTTGTGCCTGAAGAGCTGTAGTAATTACAGGAATATTCCAGGGAAGCTTACTACTAATACATTAAACTCTTCTCACTTGGATTTGGTGACTTTGCTCCAATGTTTTTGAACAATTTTTATTTTGTAGTTGTCTTTTGGCATTGATATTCAACCAAGTTCTCATAGCTATGTTGTAGCTATATCAGCATACCAGTTTATTTAGGATCCTTTCATGTGGTCCCTGTGACAAACTCTGTGACCAACAATATGCAGAATGGTGTCAGCAGTGATGCTGGGTACCTGCTGGTGAAGTGGGCAGTTCCAGTGGGTGGCAGTGGTCTCAGCAGGCAATATGAAACAGCGGATGTCATTTATCTGAACTTTAACAAGGCTTTTGACACAATCTCCTGAAGTATCCTTGGAGCCGAGTTTGAAAGAGAAAGACTGAAGAGCAAGATAGGAAGGTTGATGGAAACTTGGCTGAGCTGCCAGCCCATGGAATAGCATGCAGCAGACCAAAGTTGAACTAGCAGCTAGGTACTAATGGTGCGCCTCGAGGGCTTCAGCTGGGTCTGATGCTATTTCATGTCTTCATTAAACCTGAGTAATGGAATGAGATGGACTTCCAGCAAGTTCACTGATGACACACAATAGAGTTAACAGTCAGTGCACTGAAAGGCTGTGCGCTTAATAGGGATCTCAACTGGCTGCAAAAGTTATTTGACTGAAATTTCGTTACGTTCAACAAAGGCGAATTCAAAGTCCTACACCTACTAAGGAAGAACGCTACAATAATGCAACAGCACAGGCTGGAAACATATGTGGGGGGACAATGTGCTGAACAAGAGCCAGCAGTGAGCCCCCGTGGCCAAGGTCAGCAGCATACTGGCTGTATTATCAGGAGCATAGCCAGAACCTCAAGGGAAGGGATTACTCCTGTTGCTCTGTACTAAGACTGCATCTGCAGGGCTGTGTTCAGTCTGGAGCTCCACACTAGTGTAGGCATGGACAAGCAAGTTCAGCAAGCGATGCTAGGATGGTCAGGTTGTTGGGGCATATGGTATACGAGGACAGATTAACAAAGCTGGGTTATTCATCCTGGAGAGAAGGTAATTAAGGGAGGATCTCTCTGTTCTCTGTAACTATGTAAGTGGTCACAGAAAAGGTACAGCCAGACTTTTCTGGAAGTGTACAACAGAAGGGCCGGGGGCAGTGGACACTGGTTGCAGTGAGATAAATGCTGTTAAGATACAAGAACTTCTACTTCTCTTTACAGTGAAGGTAATTGAGCACTAGAACAGGCTCTCAGACAGGTTGTGGGCTCTCCGTGCTTGGATATGTTCAATACCTACCTGGATAAGGCCCTGAGTAGCCTCATCTTAATTCAAAAAATTGACTCTATTTTGAGCAAGGCTTTGAACCAGAGACACAGGTGGTGTCTTACTTTATGGTGAGTTTATGGCTAACAGTAGGAGGGGATTTTGCACTTGGAAAACTACTCCTTTTATCTGTGTTTTGGATATCTTTCATGTAACAGTAAATTGCACCAGAAAAGCATCCAAAAAAATAAGTACTGAGCCTAGTTTGTATCGTGACAGTCTGGCTGTGAGTTCATAATTGTATCACTCTGAAACTGGCTGCTTCCATAGCTATAGATCTCTGTCTCTGAGCATTTGTCACCTGTAATGAAAGTCTGATACTTTAATCTACAAGTGTGGTGGATGCAGCCTCTGTCCTTCATTGGCATGGTACCACCAGATAGGCTGTGCAATCCTGTGGAGGTATGAATCATAGAACCACAAAATGACTTGGGTTGGAAGGGACCTCAGAGATCACTTAGTTCCATTCCTTTCCACTGGTAGGGTTGCCAAACACTAGATCAAGCACCAGCTCAGGCTGCCCAGTGCCCCATCCAGCCTGGCCTTGAGTACTTCCAGGGATGGAGCACCCACCACCGTGGGTCTCTGCCAGCATCTCACCACTTTCTCAGTGAAAAATTTCCTGGCACCTAAAAATAAAGACAATGAAAAAATACGACTTCCCCCAGCACAGCCATAAAAGAGCCGAATTTGCAACCTAAGTGTCTCCAACATTGCTTCAACATGGAGAAGTGTGTGAGAAATTCCAAGGGGATCTGAGTGAAGACCTCTCTGGATTTGAGTCAGTGTGCTGAGTCAAGTTGTGCTACTTATGTTAATGACAACGTTCACAAGCTTTGCCTTTGTTTTTTTTTGCTTTGTTTGTTTTTGAAAGGCTTCTTGCAAACTGAATTTAATGGTATTTCTGATGATGAACCAGGAATTAACATTTCGATTGGAATTTGTATATGGAGAAATATACTTTGCTTTTTGATTGGGAACTTCAGTAGCAGGGAATCTATTTTTCTAATTGTCTGCTGTGCCCAATGCGGTGCGTAGAGCAGACTTCTGATCTGTTCACTGCACTTCCTTAAAATCTCCAAAGATATTTTAACTTGATTGTATGGAAAATAACTGAGTAAGAAAAGTTTAAGTGTAGATGATAGCTACGTGATACAAGATTTTTCAGTGTTGCTCTGCTAATATAACTGATTGACTACAAGATGTGTTGCTTGCCATTTCCTGGAATAAAAAAATGAGCTGTTGAGTCTTAATGCTTTATTCCAATTATGGTTATAAAACACTGAATCAATTTGTTCTTTAAAAAAAAAAAAAAACCAAAAAAAAAAAAAACCCAAACCCCAACAAAACAGCACTTGCAATAGTGCTTGGAATTACACAGTTCAACAGAATTAATAATGATTCCAGATGGGTTGTATTTGGCACTAAGAAGTGTGTGAAAGGAAACATTTTGGGGAACTCAGTTTAAACCAGAAGTTTGAACAATTTATAAAAGTTCTTGAAAGATTTTTCACTAGTAAAAACACTCTTTCAGGCTTTGCACATTTGGAGCTAACAAAAGAAGTGACACACACTGAGTGAAAATCTTGGTGTTGGTGAAAAACACACATATGTTCACTAACTAAGAAATGGTTGAAGTAGTAAAATTAAAAGCCCTTGCAAAGTCAGATTCTCAGCACACTCCGTGTGCCTTATTTCCCTCTTAGTTAAATAGGAAAAATGTCAATTCCTTGCCTTTAAAGAGTACTGGAAGTAGGAAATCTTTTGTGATTGTGAAATAGATAGATGGTACTAGTACTTGTATCAATATATGGACAATAAGGGCGCCTTCTGTTTGGAATTGGAAGTTTTCCTTAGGTCTGTGAGACACAAGATGTTGGGCCAAAGCCATTGAGGCCTATGTCTGATAGTAATTTAGTATGTAACATTAGGCCAACTTGGGAATACTGGAAAAGGATGAAGGCACATTTATAAACTCTTATCCACGAGTAAATGTTATCTTACTCCACTGACTAATTGTCTCCTTTTCCAGTAGCATCCTTGTTATAACCACAGAGTATTTAGCAGACATTTAGCTCTCTTAAATGCAATTCAGCAACTAGAGTTAGGCAAAGAGCTAGCATCATGTGGTCAATCAGCTTCTTTACTGGTTACCAATGATTCATAGGTTATATTTACAGAGGAACAAGGAAACAGATTACACACACTTCATGTGTTAAATTAAATCAATTATTAATAGGCAGATGGGCATCTTACAGACTTGTACTCTATAATGAACTTGTGTGAATGGTAAATAGCAAAGCAGAATCTAATAGACTTCTCCAAACCACTTTGTTTGTTTGTTTAATCAATTATGGTTTTAGCCTTGTGTCGGTTAATGGAAATTACTGAATTTCTGCATCCTGCCTCCTCTTCTGTGATGTACAGCACATTCCTTGATTGAGACTTAAGGGAGGATGTCTTTTGCAGGGGAAGTAAAAATAACAGCACATGGCTTCTGTCTTGTGTTATACCCATTTGTAATCTGCAGGTTCGCTTCTTTTTTCCTACAAAGTCTGAAAGATCACCTGGCACTGTTAATTCCCAAATGCCCCAGGACATTCTCCTTGCAAAATTCCATCATTGTATTCCAAAAGTCTCTTTTCTTATCTACCACCTCGCATACTTCTCCCCATGTCACAGTCTGTCTTTGCACACCCAAGGCTGCCCGCTTGTTCATTATTTTTGGGCCCAAGCTGAGCAAGTCTGTTTGTGGAAGATAGTTGGACTGCATACCCAACTTCCTTCCTAGTGGTCCAGGTTCCTGGAGGCTCATTGATTTCAACGAATAAGTGGTATTCTTCTTTATTTACTTTAAAATGTTAACCAATGTTTCCACAGGGAAATTATTGGGTGCCAGTGCTTCCTAGAGCTGTCATGTGTTGATAGTTGCATGGCATTGTTGTGTGACATTATTCTTGTTACAATTTAAAAGCAGATGCAGCATGATTAGGAATTTCATTTATTAATTCTAATCATTGAAAATAACCAAGATTTAGCCTTTAGTGTTTCAAGACATGAAGAGTGGCTGGGGGAATCAGAGTTGTTTGATATGGAGGAGATGAGGGGAGACCTCACTACTCCTGATGACTATCTGAAAGGAGGTTTCAGAGAAGTGTGTGTCGGTCACTTTTCTCAGGTGGCAAGTGATAAAACACAAGGAAATTCTTTAGGTTGGTTGTTAGGGAGAATTTCTTCAGTTAAGGAAAGGTCAGACATTGAAATGGGCTTCCCAGAGAAGCAGCGCAGTTCCTATGGAAGTTCCTTTCTGAATTTTCCAGGCCTTCACTTCTTTCCCTATACCATTGCATGAACTTGGAAGAAAAGGTTGCATCCTACGTGTGAGGGTTTACTTTTAGTCTGCCTATACTGAGGCAGGTTCTGATGCTCTGCGCAGCCAACAGTGCTGTGCTTTTCAGGCTGTGCTTTCTCTCCTCATCTGCTTTGGGAGTTCTGGCCACAAACACCACTTTCCTTTCACCCTCTTCAAAAGATTTACAAGCTTACCTTGTTGTTTCTTAGGAAACCTTCTTGTCCTTTTCTGGGGTTTTGATATTTTGCAAGAAGGATTGGTATCAATTCTGACCGTACACCTTTCCTATTCCCTACCTTTTTCAGTGGTTTGCATGAATGGTATCATATTGTCCATATTTGGAATTTTTCCATTCATTTGTTATGTACAGATGAATCTGACTTCATAGTGTTTAAACCAAAACTCATTGAAGTGAATGGAAAAATTCCTAATTCCCTCAGTTACTGGGCCTCATAATCTTGGCTTTGGTTACTCTTGAAGCTCTGTGACTTTTCTGTAATTACTTAGAAGTTTACAAAGTTGGGGGAAAGTTTTTAGAAGTATGGCAAAAATGGAACATCACGGTTTCAAGTCAGAAAATCTGCTCTGCTCAGTAAAATAATACTAACAATTTGGAATTCATGTTGGGCTCAGGCAGGCAGACCAAAGCACCAACAACTCTGCCTAGAGGAAAGCCAAACCTCATCAACATTTCTTTACAAGGAAAATAGGTTTTGAAGCAATGTAAATAAAGACACTACCAAAGTGTGTGTTGGGGGGGAGAGGGGGGAATGAAATTGTTATTTTCTGGAAGGACCATCAAATGGTGAAGGGTTTTCTTTTTTTTTTTTCTTTTTTTTCCATTTAGGAAATGAAGAGGTCTGTGGAAAGAAAATTAAAATCTGTCAGATGCAAAGTGCAGTCTGGATAAGAAGAGAAATAACAAAATGAAAATTAACCCGTTCTTTTTTAGAATGGAACTGTGAATTATTTGATGTTTTAAAGATCTGATTTTCTGACAATGGATAAGTTTCAACAGAGGATTTTTAACCCATCTGTTTTTACATCCTTGTACAATGTAGCAGATACTAACACTAACATTTCTCTTATTAACAGAAACAACTTTGGATTCGACTGAAGCCCCTGCAGAAGTATGACCTTGCTGTTCTCCCTTGCTAAAAGATACAGCCTTCTGTCTCCTTGGCCAAGCCAAGATACCAGCAGAGACTTGAATCCCACAAGATCCTAGGGCAGGCTGGATTGCTTTTAGCTCACTAAAAGCTGTGTTACACTGTTATAACACAAGCTTCAGGTCTGTGTGCATAGTGTTATTTCATTTTTGGGCTATATCCTTTGTAACACCTTTCAGGCTTGAGGAAGAGGCTTTTAACTGTTTCCTGCTGGCTGGCGAAGGAAAGGACAATTCCCAGCCCTTTCCTTGGCTGTGGTCTCAATCAAATCCTGGCTGTTGCAACCAGGGCTCTGCAGATGTGGGAACCCCTAAAGGAGAGAATGTGGCTCTACTTCTAATGCAGATTGTAGGACATCAGATAACTATCTGGGCATGCAGGCACACAATGCTTGGATCAAAGGAAAAGCTGCAAACCAATTTGGATTGCTTTACTGATACCTTTTCTAGTTCTTAAAAATGCAAATTTTTAGTAGAACCAGAAGTATTTCTGATATGTCAGAACAGGCATTTGAATAAACTCACAAATTATATAACATAGTAGAAAGTGAAGCTCATTTCTGCTTTCCCTGTTGCCTAGGTGATTAACATGAGATAAATGCAGTACTTCCTATGTCTGTTCTTAAATCTTTAACACAAAGAGTTTTTTGACTTGGTGTTGCAAGACGTGAAGGTGTTTCAATAGCTAGGTTTCACAAGAGTTGGACTCTCCTCCCTTCCCATTCCTTGTGTCACATTTCTGCTCTAGAGGTCACCTTGTAGGTGCTATTCAGTGCCCTCCAGACCCCTCATAGGCTGGGAGCTGGAGTGGCTGAGTTCAGTGGTGTGTGTGCTTATGCATAAAGCTCACACTAGTTAAAAATACCAAGTAATATATAATTATCTGTAGTGCCATTAACACTCTGTAAGCATTAGAGCAGCAAAAGGTGGTTGGCCATGAGAAAAAACAGATTGCTGGGCTAGAAATCAGGATACCAACTGCTGCCTCTGGCTTTGGCACCAACTGGTGTAACCCTGAGCTAGTCAACTCATTTCAATTCCTCCCTTTGTTTTTCCTCTGTCATGTCTATTTAAATAGAATGTCCTTTGCGGCAGGGATTGTCTCTCCCTGTGTGTTTGTACAGTGCGTGACACAGCAGGCCCCAAGCTCCACTGATGGCTCCAGAACACAGAACCTTTATGAGAAGAGACTTCTGCTGCAGAAATCTGCATATACAGTGGCTTCAGAAACCTCAGTTCTGTTGCCTCTTTTCTCCTTCCTGAAGATCTTAGGCTGTTTTTAAGAGAGCCTCAGCTAGAGGCTGCTGAATGCTGGTGCCCTTATTTGACAGATCAGGAAAGAGAAATACAGAAACATGGTGTGGATTTCTCCAGCTCATACAGGAGAGAGGCATTCTTTTCCTCTCTCCCCAGATTCAGTGCTATGAGGAGACAAGACATTAAATAATAAATACACACATAATCCACGTACACCTTCCAGCTTTTACCTCCTGCTTCCTCTCCTTCACAGGCCCACAGAAACCACATCTGCATGCTCTTCTTTTAGTTCTCCTCTTTCCTCCCCTCCTCAGCTGACCTCTGGAAGCACTTTAGGGATTACCTGAGTAGCTCAGAGCAACAAAGCAAGATCTCTGCTTTTCAGAGGCAGCTGCTGAATATGCCTGTAATGCCTAATCCAGCCTGAGGCTGTAGATGCCTGCCTCCACCTACCCCTGTTTACTGTCAGAATGAGGCATTTGCTGTGAGACTGTGAACATCCACACATTGACAGTAATCAAATGTTGTTGTTGTTACTGCATGTTTCTATCTGGGAAGCCAAAAAGAATATTTTCACCCTTCATTTCACTTTGCAACATCACAGTGGAGGAATCAGATCAGAGCACTGTTTCTCGTAAGGGCTGAACTGGGATGAGGGATTGCTGTGTCATTTGTCAGGCACCAGCAGAATTTGGAGGCACAGTCAGAGCGGTCCATTGCCTCGGCGCTAACCAGGAGGAGAAACGATCCTTCCCACCGTGTGGCAGCACAGAGGGCTGGCTGCCTTTTGCATTTAGAATTGTAGAACCATTAAGGTTGGAAAAGGCCACTAAGCCCACCTGGTGCAACCATCAACGCAAGTTTGCACACTGTGAATTTGGAGCTGCCTCAAAAAGGAAGCTTAGGGGAAAAAAAATATATAATTACTCTTATTTTTGCTTTAAAAGAGATTGTTTCCGACGTGTTCGCTGGGCTGCTGTCAGTGCAGCGCTGTGCCTGCGTTGTGCAGGGCGAGCAGCCCCGGCTGTTGGCCGGGCTCGCAGGGCCACCTAGCGGGGTGGGCAGGAGGAGCCGGGTCGCTGCTGTACCTCCCGAGTTGCTCGGCCTCGTTGAGGCTGCTGGTGGCCTCAGGGACTAGCAGGCGGTTTGGGAAAGTGTGCAGCCAAACCTCTATCCAAGAGAAAAAAAGACTGTGACTTGAGAAGGGCATCAAACAGCACTGTCCAAACTGCTGTAAACTGGAAAGTCTCCCAGCCTGGCTTCTGTGTGATTTACTCTCTGAAGCCCGGTACAGACACATTAAACACCTACGGTGGCTCTATGTAGGAGCTGAATCAGCGGTGGTGTGATTCATCCTTCATTGCCATCGTGGATTTCATGGGTCACGACGTTGGGTCATCATGTTGTGATGCAGCCACCTACAAAATGCCATTTACCTCTGCACTGGTTAGACAGAAAAAGCAATAGGAACTCAAGAAGACTCAAGCAGGGCTGGGCCTAGAGGTCCCTGCTGCCTCCTCATCCTATGTGCCTTTGCTGGCCCTGTCTCTCAAGATCGCCTCCTTGATTGCACTCCCTTGATGGAGGCTTTCATGGGGAAAGGTTGTTACCTGATTCCTTTGTTTCCATCACAGGTCTAACACTTTCCTGGCCTCTTCCCAAGCACCTGCCTGGGAGGGCCTGTATGTGGATGCTACATTTCAGATTGATGGCATTCTGAAACCCTCCAGCCCATGCCTGAAATAGAGGCATCACGTATGAGCAGTCCCGAGTGGTGAAAAGCCAAGTCCTTTCATAAGTGTGTGCTTTTTTTTTTTTCCTCTTAGGTTGAATACTTTTCCTTTGCAAACTGCAAAATCCAGATCTGGGAAGGAACATCCTCCTGCCCCTGCTCTGGGGATATAGACCCTGAAGATATTCTTACACATGAAAAATTAACATGAACTGAAGCTTCTGAATCAGAAGCAGATTACCTAAATAGAGAGAAGCAGTTATGCTGTGGACATTCTGAAATCCTCTTCTTCTGAACTAATTATGTGCTAGCAGTAAAACTGACACAGTTACGGTTATTAAGTCCTTTTCTTATTTTTACTTTTTACCAGAAACGTAGAAATTCTCTCTTAGGCCTAGTAGGCGCTTGTATCATTTCTGTCCGTGTGCTATATTAAGGAGCATCTTCATCATCAGCAAATATTTCTGTTGTGCTGAAACTGCACACTAAGTTAAACTCAAAAGTGCAGGGCATTTATCCCCTCTGGGCTTTCAACATAAATTTAGTGGCTTATTCTTCATCAATTCTGCATTCTGAATACCGATGACTGGAAGAAACACTAGGCAATACGCTTAATGTAATTTTTGGTGCCAGTAACCTGTATTCATACATATAAGCTAGCAAAACACAGTTTATACAAAATTATGATTATGAGTGTGTATACAAATAGATGAAAAAAACTCTCAAGGAGTTTCTGCAAATGACTTAATGTCAAGCTGGAAGTAAATGTCAAGTGAGCATCCCGAGCAGATGTGTGGAGATCTTCAGGTCTGGTGTTCGTCAATATTGTTATTAGCGATTTGGAGGATAAATACAGAGTACACTTGTGAAATCTTCTCAGTCTGGCAGGTGGGATCATAACGCAAAATGATAAATTGAAGAGATGGTCTCAGATCAACAAGGTGAAGTTCACTAATGATAAGTGTGAAGCACCATACTGCAGAAGGAGATATCAAACGCATAAATACAAAATGGGAAATAATCAGCTCAGCATCAATATGATAAAATTATCTCGTGTGTGTAGCAGTTCATAAATTAAGTATGACTCAACAATGTGATTATGCTGCAAAAATTGCTAATTCCTTATGGAGTTCTGCTAACAGAAATGTTGTGTGTGGAGCACAAGGGATTGTGTAGGCATCAGGCTGAATGCCCACAGTTCATTAACTGCAATCTGGGCACCAAAGTAGATCATACACCCCATTACCGTCCAGACCTTTCCTTTTCCCCCTCTCCAGGCTGACTTCTGAGGTACAGACATTTTTGCTAGCTTTCCCCATAAAGGATCCTCAGCCTTTTCTTCCCTTCAGAAACCAGTGCCCTGTTCCTGCTCTCCCACATGGTTCTTTCTCACAGAAATGAACAGTCAGTGATCCCAGCAGAGGAGGTCTCCATAGGGATCCCGTAAACACATAGAATCCCATTCAGGTAGCCTGCACTGCTCAGACAAAGCTATAAGGGACTCTTGCAATAGGATGTGCTTCTGCAGAGTATCACAGAAACTCGGTATGAATGCAGCTAAGCTCAAAGGGGAAGTAAAAGCTTCAGAGAAAATACAGAGATAATCCCCTGGGAACTACCACTGTCCCACGCAAAAGAAGGAACTGGTGGAAAATGATTGCATTTTATTGTCTCATTTTTATAGTGAATTCTTTGTTGTTTTGGTTTTTTTCTTGTATCATTCAGGATCTCATACATAGTACTATGTCCTGTTGGATGTCGGTCAGGCAGGTCCAGGTGTCACACCATGTATGAGCAAGCAATTTGCCAAGATTACAAATCCCTCTTTCATGATTTCTGTGGGTCATCCAGTGTTAATAAAAATAAACACATCCTATTTTTTAGAAATCACAAACCCATCACCTGTAAATTTGGGCTCTGGGTCGGCTGTGTCCTAAAGCATCTCCTGAGGCCTACCGCTAGATGGCAAACTTTAATTTTTAATTCCTGAATTTCCTTGCCCAGGGCTGTGCTCAGGCCAGGGCCGGTGGCTCTGGGGCTGTAAGCTCCTACACAGCCTCTCCTTCCCCACCGCATGCCCTGTGGTGTCACTACCACCTTTTCAGCCAAGCAAACTCTTCTGGAACCAACATTTGCCTGGAGGGTGCCCTGCTAGCACAGACAGCAAGACCCCAAGTTGGTTTCCCAGGTCCATTATGGCTGCAAGCCCATAAAAACAGCAGTTCTGCAGCTTTTCTCCATCTGGGGATTGCTGGTGGTTGTACGGGGCAAGGACATGGGTGAGAAAGGCCCTGGGGAGGAAAGCTCTGCGTGCTGGGCCCTGCAGGCTGCAGGATAACCCTGCTTTCCTTCCTTCCTTCCGCCCTCTCCTCCCCTCTGGGTGCACCAAGAAGTGTTTACAAGGCTCAGAGCATTTAGTAGGGTGGGAAGAAGGCCTTTCTGTCCCTGATGATTATCTTGGAAAGCACTGAGGTAAGTTAAGAAAGCAATTCTAATGAATGTGATATTCTCCAAGGAAATAGGCACAAACTAGAGTGGTGCCAGCAAAGCCACTCACCTCAGCTCTCACTGTTGCCTGCTGGGTTGAGAGGAGTGCTGTTAACGTGAAGTCTTAAGCATATTTTAAGAAGCTCTAATAATACTGCCTAAATCAATCCTCATTTTCTTATGGATTTATGAAATGGTTCGTCTTCCCCATTAGCCATGTATGTTGCATTATTGTATGCAGTAAATTTATTTCCCCATGAGCATAACAAGGAAACCTGGCCCCAGGTCTGAGGTATATGCTGCCCTGTACGAAACAGAATAGTAGGTTGTGTTTCCTTGGTATTGGCCAAGGGCTAGACTTAGGTGGGATTGTGATATGCTTCAGGGAGAAAAATCACATTTTCTCCAAAAATATACTCAACTATTCCATGTCTTGTTACCATGAAATATATTCTTCATCACAGCAGATGCCACAACTTTGTAGCAAAGCAGCTAGCACAGCAACCTCTGCAAATCCACTCCGGGTTTTCTTTGCATCTTCTTGCAATTCTCATTCATGATGGTCCTTTTAGATTTTTTGAAATCCTTATATATTAAGTTGTTCCTAGCGCTTTTCCTCTGCACGCTAAATCTCTCTCAGACTTTGGTGTTTCTTGCAAAACAGTCCCTGCTTTTACTGATGTGCTGTCTTTTAAATTATATGGAAAGAATGCTGTAAGGGAAGGTGAATCCTTCATCTTCAAGTACTTCTATGTTTTAACTCTTTTGCACCTGTCTAGTCCTACATCCAGCATCATTAGCTAAAAGCAATCTCAGAGAGACTCCTTCCAGCTGCCAAGGAGATTCCTCACCAGTCTCCTGAACCTCCTTTTTGAAGCCCAAGCTCTCCAGTGGGCAAGGATCTCCCCCGGCTTCACATCACCTGAATTCAGACAAACCTCCCAAAACAAGTCTTTGCCAACAAAAGCAGTATTTTCCAGGCAAGATTTAGGTGCTGCAGAAAGGTGAGTTCAGGATACCCTGGGGTTGAATAAAGGGCTTTGGCCTGTCTCTTGGGGAAGCTCTTTTCCTAAGACATGGGCTGGTACAGTACATTCAGAAGGAGGTACCTACTTCCTATTTGTTTTCTATGGGACTGGCAGTTCCTCCAACTATTTCTGCAAAGGGCTGCCCAAATTCATGTCTCTCAAGATTTGATCTAAATATATTGTTTACCAACAATAAGTAAACTAAGCCCAGATCTTCATTCTTCTTCTCCCCATCTTGGGAAGCATAAGCTCTGTACTATTTCCACTCTGTACTGTTTTCCCTCTGCCATTTTGTCAGAACTG